TCAAAAACATAATTTCTGCATTTTATATCTGTGGGTTTGTTAAAACACAAATTGCGTCAGACAAGGAAACAACAAAGGATGAACATGAGTACAGAATGTATTATAAAAAGGAACATGCGCGCCATATTAGAGAATTCATGAATGAACCATATTCAGTGGTAACAGAACATTTTACAGGTCGTCTTTCGGTTCAAATCCAAGATGTGGAGAACCGTTATGAAAAGAGAATCAGTGGGAACAACTTAAATTAATTGTGTGGTTATTTTAGATGGTTTTATTGATCATTTTAAACTATAAATAATAAGTTAATAACTAATACTTATTAATATTGTATTTTTGTTTGATGTAAGAAATACACATTTAACTATCGAAGTGTTCTTAACATTCTATTACTTCGGTGAGTATTCAAGAAAATTCATCAGAAAAATCATTTTTCAAATTGAATCTTTTGTGTAAATAATTTGTTTTAAAAGCCGTACGACAATTTTATGGTGGTCGACCATTTTGTGATGCACTTTAAATATAAATAATGAAAATTATAATAACAAATAAGTATAAAAACAATTATTAGTTCTATCGCAATTCACAAATTGTTTCCTTTTAAACAATTTGTTGTTTTTAATTTTAGAAAAAATGGTTGTTTACAATTTTAAATTCTGTTATGGAAACATCAACATTACAAACTTTAAAAAATGAGCCTTTCTTTAATACAAAAATATGGGATTTTTGATAAAAAATATTCAAAACTATTTTGATTGGAAAATGATTCGTCTTTTCAAAAAGAGTATTTAAACTTATAAAACTGGTATTTATATATGTGTGAACAAATGAGGAGGTGATATAAATAATGGCGAGAGAGTGTGGATTTGACATGCTGAGGAGAGGAAAGAGTGCGTGGATGGTTTTGACAATAACAAATAAAAAAATATGGTTTAACATTTTGTGCCATAAACGTGTTGTGTTTGATACGTTACAACTTCAAAACAAATCAAGACTAAAGCGACTTTCCTTATTTAATTTAATCTAACTGGGCAGTCCATGTGCATCATATCAAAGCGGTGAAAGCTGCGTTAGACTTATAATTAATTTGTTTTAATTGTTTTTATTATATTTTAATAATTTGTAATAAAGTCAAAAATAACTTGAAAATGTTTTGTGATTGTAGTCTATTTATGATTTGTTTTTCTTCATTGTTTTCGTAACCTTCCTGAAAGAATATATAACCTGTGGCTAAACTATGATGTTTTTTTCCCAATAAAATAAGAAATAATTGATTTTCCTTCTAAAATATTCTTAAGAGCTTTGGCAATGTTGTTGTCGTTGTTATTTTTTCTTTTTGTAAATGAAAAAACAATAACAAAAAAGACAAAATAAATAACATTTTTATTGTTTTTACCATAAAAAAGCGATTTTTCAAAAGAAGCGGTTTTTTAGCCCCCCTTTAGAGTTGGTGGAAAAAAGTCCGGCTCGATAAAAAAGTTTGGCTCGTTTGCAAATTGTAGTAAATTATAATATTTGTTGCTATAATAATGAAAACATTTTGTATTATTTCAAAAACATTAATTAAAACTCCTAAAAAACAAAAAAATAAATAAATAAAAATAAAAATAAAAATAAAAATAAAAATAAAAATAAAAATAAAAATAAAAATAAAAATAAAAATAAAAATAAAAATACTTACAAAACCAAAAAATGGAAATTAAAACCAAACTTTTGATCGAAAATTTTTTATTCAGGTCAAAAAAATTGGCA